CTGAGTTCCTGTTCACTAATAACATTGACAACGATCTGAGATGCTGGCCAGCCTCACACAGCACACTTCTGGATCCATGGGTTCAGTTTACAGGCTCTGTTTGTTTTCCCTTCATGTTCAGCAGCCAGTGGCTCTAAATGTCTGTGTGTGTGTGTAGAAATAGCTGGACGTTTACAGCCTCTTATATAACATAAAGTCATGCATAACGTCATCTGTGCATAATGCATACATACCGGGTAGTCATGCTAGCCACAGGGACACGAAGAGAGACAGGGAAGAGAATCAAACATTCATTGATGTTCATAGGAATACCTTATTAAATCTCCTGATTATAACTGGAAATATATCATGATAAAGCATGTTTTAAATAGTTTAAAAATAATTTAAGAATTTAAGATTAATGGATAAAAACCTCGCCAAGGGGAAATTATAAATAATAGAGAGCCAGCTATGCGCTGTTTACATGCATGCACACACATACAGAGTAATCAGATTAGTACAATAGTTTGATTTAACTACACCGGGGTAATCCCATAGCACAATTGTTGTGTTGAGGCACGCAGAGTGAAACAATGAGGCTGAATGAATGAAGACAATCCTGCACACTGCTGTCGGAAAAAAACACTAAGAATTTATTTTAGCCCACATTTGAATACAGTATTCTCCACCAACATCTTGATATACTGTGATTTTCTCTTGATGTTATTCACTTAAAAGACGATAAACTATCTCCCAGCCCTAATTTGCCTCAGTACTGAGAACAGGGAGAACTGTACTGTGAGTTACAGTGTAGACATGTTTTCCCTATAGTCGATACCCGGTAAAACCAGGACTATCCTGTGGCCTCGGGGTGACTACGGTACAGCCAACGATTGAGTTTGGTCTGGTTACCCTGTTAGGAAAATGTCTGACAACAGCTGAACCGGGGAAACAAGACAATAAATAACTTTAATGCAGGAGAGGCGAACTAAAAAACCTCTGAGGTAGAGATTGATGCAGTGGACACGCTGGCAGAATATAAATGTAGATGCCTGGATAAGAACTTTTGTTAAATCTTAGAAAAAAAGCACCCCATTCAGCCTTTTATTGTTTACAGATCAAAACCGGCTCTGATCTGACGGGAAGACAGACTTGATCAGGTCTTTTTTGCATAAGGTCATTATTCTACCTCTTGTGTTTACTCCGCTAAAACATTACAAGCACAGTCTAAATTTAATCTGGTGGATAAATCACTTTAGGAACCTTTTTATACAGTCAGGATTCAGTAGCAGTAGTACAAAAGAAAGTGACTTTACAATAAGAACATGCCGTACTGTGACTGAAATGTCTTGTTCCTGATCTAACAGCTTTGGGTGATTTACATTTACTTGCAAACATGACACTGCAGTTTTTATTCCCCTATTTGACTCCCAAAAGTCATGGGAAGGGGGTGGGGGGTGGGGGGGGGGGGGGGGGGGAGTAAGAGGAAGCAATTTTGGCTTAGTCTTGGCGAGCGTTGCCTTGTGGGAAATCAGCGTGGTGGCAGCTCCTGTAATTAGTTCTGCTTGTTAGAAAAATGAAGGGGTTACTAATTAGCAAGTGGATGGCTTCTTGACTTGTTGTGCATCTTTTCCCCTCCTTTCCTTGAAGATCATCATTATCGTCTCCAGGCAAAGCGGGGGAGGGGGGGGGGGGGGGAAGAGAGAGAGAGAGAGAGAGAGGGAGACGCTCATTCGTGCTGTTCAACAGTTTAGCTCTCACGAATGAATCTAGATGGACACATCTCGACGGCTGTTCTGTCATGCTCTGACGGACAGGCTGCCTACTGTAAGCACGTGCAGTGGCAGAAAAAAAAAACGCCCGGAGCTGTGCTTTCATTTTGCAAGTTGGCTTAACAAGACATGCAGTCAGCTTTTTCACATATCTTTACACACACAGGCCCTCAGATGCTTTATTTATAGAATATCCACATCTACTACAGCTTCAATACGTCAGAAGTTCTCATGCAAGGCCTTCAGATCTACAGTAACGTCACTTTTGTCACCACACACCCGTCAGTCCCGATTAATTTCTGGCTTTTGCACGTTATTACTCTCTACATTTCCTTGTGACAAGCATTAAAAAACACTATTAGAGCTAGGCTGGGTAGTATGTTAGAAAAAGGCCCCTTTCTTGCTAGATTGAGCACATTGTGGATTTAGTGCTGCTAGCTACAATTAATAGTAAGAGTTTACTTAGGCTGGGTTTTAAAGTTGGATAATATTTTGGTCCTGGCTTTCATATAATCCACATTTTGATATTGGAATCTGATTCCCGGCCAACTGCCAGAAAACCAAGCTGCCCTGCAAAGGAAATGAAGGGAAAGTGATTCAAAAAGTGGCTCATAAGATTTATGTAATGTAACACTGATTACCGTTATCACACGCCTTATGTATCCAGGGTATATTAAGGAGTATATTAAGGATTTTGAAGGATCAAACAGCGACGATGGATTTAATCAAACTAGATAAAGTGTAAGAAAAGCTTTTCATTCTCCTGTGTCATTTGGCTTGGATGTCGTAGCATAAAGGAAATGCAAATGGTACCATCCAGAAATAGAGCCTTTTGTGCCCTCAAATTGAAGACATATAATCCGCGGATGATGTTTTGAAAATCTGGACTACCAGTTCTGCTTTCAGCGTTTTTCACCAGATTTCTCCGAAAGCCCCCCCCCCCCCCCCCCCTCTCTGTTTAAGCTGTTGGCAATTTGAGTGTTGAAAGCGGAAGTATTTTTGCATGATGTCACACTCTCCATCGATAATTCCCTGTTACACGGCCTTACATGCATGCGGCTGCAGAGAGACATTTATCTCCCTCAGCTGATCCTCTTCCAAGAATGATCCTGATGGGACGTTACGTAACTACTGGAAGGCAGAGCTGCCGGTATTAGAGGAACACACAAACTCCAGAGAACATACTAATCTCCCTATGTGATTATTAGTCATAATATTTAACGCTGGCTTAATGAGCGACCCGCAGCGTAATCTCTATCTGGCACGTTCACCTGTTCCCTCCTAACCCTCCTGACTTTGCCTTTGAGGGAGGGTGATGTGGAGTTTAAATAGAGTTATTATACCTCAAGTGTGCAGGGAATTACCCTGAAGATATGAAATGGTGGGGAAATGAGGTTATAACAGAATAGCTTGCTGGAAAATGTGTGGATTAGCTCAGCTGCTACATTTCGTTTTTGGCCAATTTCAGCTCCCTAATTTCTGTAATTATTCTGTCACTTTACAGAGGCCAACCTAATGTATGGTAATTTATGGGTTGTTAAACAGAAACACTGGGACACTGACACTCATAATGACTTTTCTCAAAAGGAAACCAGCTCCCAATAAAAGTTATTTCAAGGTATTTGATTAGCTACATTTGTCATAAAATCAACAAAAGGAGCCATAAACAATAACTTTTTCTTCTTTCAAATACAGAATGTTGGGACTAATGTTAAGCTTTCACCTCATGAGCCGGAGCTAACGCCTCACGCCTCCTTCCTGCTCCTCTATCCAGAGATTTGATATTCAGTGCAGCGTCATTTAGCATACAAATGAATCACAGGGTTTACAAATGTGTCAATTTGCCCTGAATGTTTTAAACCCTTACAAGATCAAACTGGATAATGTTATGCATTTCATTTGGCATTGTGCACTTTATCAACAACACACATCAGTGCCTCCACATTTGAACAACTCCTCTCCGAAAAATGTGGAGGCTGTGAACAAAGACTTGATATTCAAAGATCGGAACAAAAGCTTTGTGTTCGTTCCTCGAAACAGAGGCCTTCAGCGTTATTTCACACACACACACGATTTTGGAGATGAAGTGAGCGCTCTTTAGTGAGGCAGTTGGTGAAAGGCGTTTGTTTCAAAAATAGATGTTACAGTGCTGCACATGGCACGATGAGATGGCAGAGAATTGAGGGATTGTTTAAGGACTGGCGTCGCTTTGACACGCCCACTCTCACACAAAGTGATCGCGTTAAAACTGGCAGCACGGACACAAAGTTTCAGAGTTTTTAGACCACTCGAGTCAAAACTAGGCTATTTTAACTTCAAGGTTTATTTGATTTAGTTAAAAAGACTTTTAGATATTGTAACTTTGTATTAAAGACAATGATACAGTTATGTTAGTTACGAAACAAATGGTGAACGTGTTTGAGGGTTACGTTACATAAGGATTGCATGGGAAATAGGAATATTGAATATAAAATATATGCAAATGTTGTGGCAATTTAGCACTCACAACAGGAAAGAATGAAACAGAGAGGAATCAATAAAACACAAACACAGTTATAGTTGATCAATTATTATTTCGTTGTACAACAATCAATAATAACGAGGAAAACATTACCTACAGCAATGCTCCCTAGACCAGAAAGATCTCATGTGCTTTATACATGTAAAACACACACAAACATACACTTGAAACAGCATACGTGGCAGAGATGTTCCAACCGTATACAGTCATACATGTTGCATCCTCTGAGTTCTACATGATCCCAGATTTCATGACCTTATTTAGCAGCTACCACACATGCCAACGTATACAACTGCTGGTGAAGAGTTTCAGTTGATTCACCTCCTTCCGGCAAACCAAATGAAAAACACACCGTCCACTATACTGTAGCTTATACCATGTGACATTAATGAATATACCAGAAATACGCTGTAATAAACATTCTGCTATAACACTAGTGAAATGCTATTTTTGAGGGTATTTCAAGGAAATCCAAGTAGACAATCTGATGTTGCTCAGCTTGTGAGTGACTGCGTCAGCAGGCACAGTGGGGGGGGGAGGAATCTGTCACTCAAGTCTCGTCCTCTTACATCACAGTCAGTCGTCACATCACTGTAACTGTAATGTCTCTCTAGTGTCTTTTCGTCTTGTCTGTGTGGTTGTGTGCGGCATGCTTCACATCTATGTCCTGTTTTCTCTCTCTCTTTCTCTCCCTCTCCCCCCTTCTACTTGTTCTTCTCTCTGTGTTGGATGAGAAGACAATTCCTGTGACGCCAGAGGATGAAAGCAAGTTGTCGGTAGGTCTGGTCTGATTGACACTCTTCTTCCCGTCTGCTTCTGTGTTTGTCCCCGTTTTCTGTGTAGATGTAGCGACACAACTTGTGTTTCTCCCCACCATACTGTGAAGACGACATGTACACTGTTATCCCCGGCCTTCAGAGAGTAGCTCCCCTTCTGTTTTCCTGAAGCCTTGTTACAACACTTACACTTTGCACGCAGCATGCAAAAGACAACCGAGGAAGAAGCATGTGTTTACAAGACTCTTTTTTAATGCTGTTAAACTTCCGGGAAAAAAGCATGCCAGAGTGTTAACCTTTCACCAGGATTGCGAAGGTTGAACAGCAGAAGGAGAGTCTTCCTGGTGGCACGGCGAAGCGTTGTCTCTCCTTCCTCCCGTTCACACCCATACAGGCCTGTGAATTAGCACCTCACACCTCCTACTCCTCAACTGTGCGCAGCCAAAAGCGGACTCACTCCAAACAGCTGCCGCCTGCAACGACGCCAAATGTCCCAAAGTTCAGCCCAAACTGCTGGAGTGACCTTGGCTTGGATTCGTAACTCTGGGTTTTGAGAAGCCCAGGCACTTTACGATAGTTACACTGCGATGCTGCGAGGTTTTATGCAAAAGAGGATTAGGGAATAATATTCCAGACGGCTTGGATTAATAATGGCTGGAGTAAAGTGCTTACAATTGATAGACTGATGTTAATATCAGCATATTTGATTTATGACAGACATAAGAACTAGTTGTTGGAATAAAGATAGGTATTTATTATTGAGGTTAAAAGCTGGGTAGCACTTTTTATGCCGCCCATGTCTATAATGCGTTATAAACATACTTATTGATATGCTAGAATATGCGTCTAGTTATGTTATGATGCATACTAACAAGACTCACATTATTTTTATAATCTGCACCGTACAGTTAAAGTTATAAGCACTTATATTTGTTCATAATGCTTTATAACAACACATTATTAATGTAATTATTCCAACAACTTGAAATATAATACATGCTGATCCCTCTGTGAGTGACCTGCAGTCATGACATTACGATATTTGACGTTTTTTATCCTGTTATGATTGTTGTCTCAAAGCATTATGAATATTAAACAGTGCTATAAAGAGATTATAACGCATTTTAAGGCATAAGTACAGATGTGGCCGTAATAGAAAGTGTTACCAGTCTGCTGCAGCAGGACGTTCGATTGACAGCTTGTTTCTCCTCTCACAGGCCCGGCCTCGGCTTCAGAGGGGGGGGAGCTCCGCCTCCCTGCACAACAGCCTGATGAGGAACAGCATCTTCCAGCTCATGATCCACACGCTGGACCCTTTAAGTGAAGGTAAGTCAGACACACACGTAGAAAACTCTTCAAAGATACGTCTGACAATTGGTTTTTCCTCTTACAAAACTTCTTTCAGATGTACTGGATGTGAATGGAATCCAAAAATCCATGACCTTTACTGTCAGAAAACTAAGCACATAACATATGTTCATATCCTGAACCTAATCTCACATTTTATTGTCAGCTCCATATGTTGTTTCTGGCAAAGTTTTAATTTAGTCCACAGTTCAAATAGAAAATGTACTTTTATACATGTATCTGCCGTTTCCACAATTAACATTTTGTCCTTCTAGCACCTATGTGCCAACACAGAAATGATTATTCTTTAAAATAGCCTATCCGTAGAGACCAGGGGAGCGCGGTGCTGTGTCAGAGCTGAGGTGGAAGATCATTCTACTTTAATCCAACATCAAGGCCTATTAGCTTAGCTGAAGGAAATGTAAAACAGCAGTGTCAGTGCTCGGCACAGGGGAGGAATATGTTAATGATGCTGTGAGACCTGGGGAAAGAAAAATGCACATTACCAGGGGTTTCTCATCAGTGTCTTTGTTTAGTGAAAGGTCTTATGACGATGAATCCTAAGGCTTAAAAATATGAATATTAACGTTGAATGCTAATTCCTGTTTACTGACTAATACGGGTGTTTATTCCTTTTTCCCCTTCGAGTTTCCATAGTAATGTATTAACAGTGCGTGGTGTTGGATTAAAAGCATCAGTGGTAGTTCTACAGGAAATAAACAACATATGGGAAGAGCCTATTTCTAAGCTCAGAACAATGACCTGCCTGAATATTTCCCCTCTGGATGGATGTGATCTCATTAGCAGATGTCTGCTCTCCGAAAATGACTATACATTCCTTAAAAGCCAAACCTAGAATGAGTCAGCTCAGGAAAGATTAATAAGCGTTGCCGAGACGGGCCTTTAAAGTGCCCATTAACATGCATCAACTCTGAGTGTATTCCATCTCGGAGATTATAATGTAAATCAGAGGCTGCTGCTGCCTGTTGTATATGTACCGGAGAGCAGGTAAATACTCCACCCTGCCCTGTACACTGAAATATTCACTGCTTGTTTGACAGCACGAAGATTAAAAGACGGCAGAAAGTGAAAGACAGCATTTGGGTTTGGAATTCAAATCCCACCAAGCATCGAAAAACATCAAAATACATATACTGTGTTATTTTTGAGTGGATTCAAAATTCCGTTTTTTGATTCTGCCATGATGTTATATCACATTTGACTGATGAGTCTTTTGGCAAAATACTGACTGGAAATAAATGCACTGAAGCAACGACTACAGTGTGACATGACGGGAAGATTGAATTCATTACCAGAAAGAACAAAAGCAACACTTTGGGCTGATTATGTAGAAATGTCCATGTGGGTCGTTTTCACACATCCAGCAAACGTAATGATATTGGTGAGACGTGGGATCATGTACAATGCACATTTCCTGATGTCATTAATGCTAAACCACATTTTATCCGGGATATGGCAGCTGCATCTACGAGAGGCGGTGCTAACTGTCCTTCCGTGCTCTTCTGCTTTAAGTGTAGCTCAGCTGGGCTGTCGGGGGGGAAGGCGGCAGGACTCAAGCCATACATTTTTTATGACCATTTCTCAAAATAAAGTCGCCTTCGCTTCCGAGCCGAAGCAGAGTCTGAGGTTGTTTTGCTTGGGCTGGGAACTTATTACATTTGTCAGACTTTCAGAGTGAGGGCGGTTAGAGTGTTTGAGCCTATAGGGGTTAAACACTTTTCCAACAAACACATTCAAATACTTTCCTCCCACTACATCGTCCTTTCAGCTAGTGATAACACAATTAGGAGATTTTATTTTTCAACAGCGGCCTCTTTTGGGGTAAATTAAACTTAAGTGAATGTGTGTGGGTCTCTGTGAGTGTGTGTGTGGGCATGTGTGTGAAAAATATGGGAAATACACTTAATTGCTTTTTCACTGGACATGGATTACAAGATTGATACCACTCTCGATGTCATACATATTATGTTGCGACATATTACAGTACCATAAGCAAAGCAATATATTTAATTTAGAACAATTGTCATACTAAAATGAGCTCACCACCACCTGCGTGAAAAACACAGATTTTTGATACAATCAAAACAATTATAACTGTCACATGTACCATCATGGCAGTAATGTGTGTGCAAACTGACCCACTGTCTGCAACAAACCTATGCATACTAACTATTCATTTAAAATGTTTGTGGATTTTTTTTGGAATCGAAACCTCATCACAAAGCATAATATTGTGATACTCAAGTGTATAGATATTTTGTCTCCTATATCCAGATGGTGGTTAGCTTAGCTTAGCATAAAGATGTTCTATTGCTCTGACAAACCCAGGCTAGCTGTTTCCTCTTGTTACACACGAGAGTGATTTCAGTCATCTCCTCTAACTCTGGATAATAAAGCAAAAAAGTATTTTCCCCATATATCATATTATTTTTGGCTCAAATATGTATTTCTCACATGCATCGAACTACAACAAGAATGATAACTATAAAAATGACCCCAAAAGGTAAATAGTTTGAACTCAAGTGGATATTGTAGTCAACACCGTGCCAAGCGATGTGGTGGGTAATCAAAAGCCATCTCATTACCAATGTGTTTTTGTTCTGCAATGTTAAAATGCTCGTTCAACATGCTTCCTAACAGCATTTATAACAGCATCTCTCCCCCTCCTCCCAGCACAGCTCTGCGACTCCTTATGAACTGTTTTCTTATTCTCATGATCTGAGAATAACATCATAACATGAATTTGTTTCTCTGCACGGCAGTTACAGGTCACCAAATATCCTTTTTTTTGGGGCTCTCGACACAGCTGGAATCAATTATTTACTGTTCTCCAATATCACCTGGATTTATGTTCTCTCTGCTTCTGTCATCCTCTCTTTCTTTTCTCCTACTGTCCCCTCAGAATTTGCTGACTCTGGTGAGTTACTACTCTAATTTCTGTACCCCCACCCCTCCCCAACAATTCTCATTTCAACAGCCTGGAGGAAAGTCTCCTGCCCGACGTGTCCCCTGTAAACGTGTCCCCCCGGCGCCGCTGTGCTGTCTGTCCCCTCTGTCCTTCCGAAAGCTCATTCTCTTCTGTGGATGTGTTCCCCCTGGAAACCCTCTGTGACCATTTCTGCATTGTTTTCCCCCCATCATCCTTAATCCTCTCTCTCCTCTTATCAACTCCTTTTGCTTTGTCTTGCTGCTCTCTGTGAGACAGGCGGACGCCCAAAAACGAGGAATCTTGTTTATTTCCTGTCCTCCAAATATGGACATTCAGGTCTCTCAGCTCCACGACGTTGTGCTTCAATCATGACTTTTGGTGTTTCGGGCAAAAGGTGAAAAGTTGTCAGCTGTTTTCACTCGGTCCTCCTCACACGCCCTTCATCAGGAGTCAATAAGATCTGGATTAACTGCTCCGGAGTAAAATTTGTTTCCCTCTTTCACAATTAGCTGTTCCCACAAAGCTGTTATCGATTAAAGTATGCACATGCTCCATGAGGGGATACAGTATATTATTCAGCATCCAAGAACAACAGCTTTCTTGTTACCGTGAACGTCCTTCAGTTTAATAATAGCTCTTTAATCCTGCATGTTTTTCATTGGAGAGAACATCTTAATAGTCTGGTACAGTTAGTTCCCGTCACAAGTGCCCTCATCTCTTTTTTCCATCAGTGTGGAGCTACAAACAATATCACTTAGGAGTGGCATCAAATATTGAACCACAAAGAGAGTAGGGCGGAGTGGCTCTCGCTCTGTCTGAGCCTCAGTGGATGCTGGAACAAGCCTCCAAAAACAGCACTCACTATTCCGCCTGCGTGCCGCCTTTGGATCGTCCCCTCAGTAACATTCATCACTCTGAGATGTGAACTCTGTGTCCATCGCTAGGGATCGGAATCCAAAACCAGTCCCAAAATGTCCGCTCTATCTTAATCGTATGCCTCTGAGATTATTACATTTATTTTATTCATGCTAGCTTCTTTTTTCTTGGATAGTTGCATTGGTTTTTAACAATCAGAATCAGAATACCTTTAATAGTCACACAGAGGGGACATTTACATTGTTACAGCAGAAAAGAGCCAAAGACAGTTTAATGTTACCTAAGTAGCATGCATACAAAAAAGAAAAAAGAAAAGATTATAATAAAAAAAGTTACATAATTTACAAAAAACACATCCTGTAACAGTTTTGAGGATTTAGCAACCAGGTTTATATTGCAGTTATTATTGGCATATATATATATATATATATATATTGCCCAACAATACCAGAATTAAGAAATATCCCAGCCTTTACATAAAAGCACTGCTCTCTGATGATGCGGTGAACTATAGTAAACATATTTATGAGTAATGGCGATTCCTGCAGATCATTATCTCGCTGACTGGAAAGATCGCTCACTGTGCCGATTTGGCCTTGGACATGATTGTGGTCGATGCTAGGCAGTTTTTTTTGTGAGCAGACATTGTACCGAAGGCCCCAACAGGCGGAGCGAGAGGACAAGGTCATTTGGGTGAACCGCCATACACCCATGTTGGCAGACAGGACGCTTATTGGATGAACGGGTGAGACGAAAGGGCATGTGGCGCGTTGTTTTATTGGTCGTTTTCTAATCAAGGCACAGAAGGAGATCAGCCAAGGGCGGCAAATGAGGGTAACCATTCGTAAGGTTGTGATGACGTAATGTTGACCCAAACACAAGCAAAAAATAAAGGGAAACAATAGAGGAAGAGTACACTTAAATACACAGGGTCTGGTTGTTCTGTCATGACTTTCATTAATTTAACATTCATTTAGTATTAGAGTTAAATCCATTCGTCCAGCCCCTAGCCCTAACCCACACACACACACACACACACACACACACACACACACACACACACACACACACACACACACCACCAGCAGCAGAGGTGTCTGCATGGTGACCCAGGACCATCGATCACATGGTTCAATAACACTCCCTGTCACTGACCTAAAACCCATTGTGCAATATAGTTTCCATTTATGCGGATATAAAACATTGATGTTCTGCGGTAGGTTTTTAATTGTTTGTTCTAACAACAAGTTTTACATCTAACTTCAAGATTATATTTAGGTAGGTGTGTGGAATAGTAGCATCTTCACCTGTATACAAAATATAAAGAGATGTGTAAAGGTCACAGTCACGCTTTGCAGCATATTCTTCATCGCCAAATAACTCATAGGCAATTGGTATATCTTTCATATTATGATAAAAGATATATTTTCAAAGAAAATAACTAAATTTCAGTTAATAAGGGGGGAATACAACTGTTGACAATAATCTTCTTTAGGACAAGTGGGTATGAAGTGTCCAAAATACACATTTAGGTGTTTAATTTCTACTTAATTCACCAAACGTTGGCATTACATAATGACTCATTTGCATATTTAAACATAACATTTCAAAACACTTGTAATGAAAATCGTCTTAATGTAAGTAACCGTTAACATTTTAACCTTTTCATAAGTAGTATCCCTCCCTAAACTTTGCTTAATTTATTTCCATGGATAATCGTAGCTCCAGCATGTTATGTAACTGTGACCGAACAACCCCAACCTATCAACCCATCATCCCTCACACACACACAAATACACACACACACGCACATAGAGGCACACATGTCACACCCCCTCCCGTGCCCTCTGAGCTCACCCTCTGCTGGATGGGGGGGAGGAAATAATCAATGTTAAAAGCCTTTTTGCTTCAGCACAGACTGTGAATTTCCCTGACACCCCACCCCCCAGCAGACAGTGTGCGCGCACACACACACACACACACACACACACACACATATATATATATATATATATATATATATATATATATATATATATATATACACACACACACACAGCTCAACAGAGGTTTAGAGGTCACACCCCAAGGACAAGAGGGCCCTGGTAAACAACAACAGCCTCTCTCCGGCTGCAGGGCTCTGATTGGGTTAATTGCTCTCAGAGCTGCCTCCGTCAGAGGCCGGCAGCACAGTGATGGTGCACTTCAGACCCAAACAGCCTAATCATGTGGGATTGAGGCACTTGTCTGGGAGTGCAGCGGATGAGCAAGACGCTCTGCAATAGGATGTGTTTTCATCTCATTAGATTGTTCTCAGGGCTGCCAAGGCTGCCATTTGGCATGAGATCCGCACCATAATCCTCTCACATGTGAGGGAGTGGCCCTCACTGTTGGGCTCAGTTGGATATTAGTGTGAGTGCATGTGGGTACTCACTGTACTGTACACCAACACACATGCAGAACAACTAGAAATGTCTGTTTGTGAAGAGAAGGGATTGGTCCATTTACACAAATTGCTAATTTAAGTCATAGTCACACGGATCCCTGTTTCGTTGTATTTGGCGGCACCTATGGTGATATGCAGAACTGAAAGAGTTTCCACTTTCTCTTTTATAGAAGAGGCCAAGCTAAAGTAGACCACTTCCTGTTTCTTACATGGAATACATAGAATTTGATTTAATAGTTAATATATTACAGTGCTTTGCTTTTGCCTATATTGCTACAAACAGTAAATGAGAACATTTTGAATAAGTTAACATTGGATTGAGACACATACATATCTCACATATAGCTGAATAACATAAGACTTGCGAGGTATAAAAAAGAGAGGTGGACTATTTACAAGCTTTGAATGTGGTAAAAAGGCAGCTTCAGAACAGCCTCTTGGTGCTCATCATTGTTATTTATATTATGGATGAACTGGTCTTACAGAGGCTTGCAAAAGGAGACATTAAGCTACTAATAATGGCCTTTAAGATGAAGTATAAAGAATTAAATCCTCATGATATCAGTTACTACCTTTGAGACAGTTTGGAGACAAAGTGCATTGTGGGCCGCGAGCCTCGGTGTCTTCTGCTCAGCTGCTTCACGTTCAGCTCTCCCTGTAGGTTTGAATTCCTGAACAATTCATCATGCAGATGTGCTGACCCCCTATTTACTGTAGCACCAAGAACTGCTACAGTAAGGGAATCAAATTAATTGTTTGGGTTTCATTGTGGAAATAAAACGCCGAATCATCAAGTCTTTGAATACGCGTGCGTGCAGAGGAGAGGAGGACTCATCTTTCTGTTGCATGTTGACCCAGTAAATTCTCTTCAGACTTCCCTGTTCTGTTTGTTTGTTAATATATCATTGTATGAACCTCTTATTATTTGTCTTCTAGTATCAACCGCTCCTTCCCCCTCTCTTCTTCTTTTTGCTAATAATGATCTATCCTGTGGCAATTGCAGGCTTCAGTTATCAGTTACTGTAATACTATAATGTATTTCATTTGTTTTTCAACCCTGTTTTGCACTTATGCAGTGATGACTCTGAGAGACTTGTGTTGCCGTGTGAGTGTTTGTGCAGTATGTGATGTAGAAGCAGCGGACCTGTGTTGTTCTGTCATGTTCACTCTTTTCCTTTTCTCTGTTTGTTCGTCGCCTTACCCTTGTCTTTTGCTGTGATGTTGTAGAGCTTGGGACTTATGGGAAACTAAAATATTATCACTCAATGACTGAGGAAGGTAAGCCTGAAAGTTTTCACTTGATTCTTTGAGTCAGCTCCTGTCATCCCTCTTGGTTTTTCTCCATCTTTATCGTGACACTCCACCTCCAACCCCATCTGTTTGTTTGCTTGCAACATTTTTTTTTTTAAAGTTTGACAACCTCTCTGAGATTTCACTGACATAAGTGCAAATCATGGTAGCCATGCCATATTTGTTTTAATTATTCTCATTTTCTTTTTTGTTTGACTTTTTTAAATGTATTTCTCCCCAGAGAATATGTACATACATATTGTGTGTTACTGTGTGAAGTGCTTCTATGGTTATCATTAACACGATGTTTTGAAGGAAAATTGAATATATGTTGCATTTATTAGATTTTGTGAGAAAGCCACTGATTATTTTTTTAAATGTTGGTCAATTGAACACATTTCCTTTAACGCAAGCAGGTAAAACCACACATGCACAGAAGAGATCTCCTGAAAACACACAACAAGGTTTGCTTTTTCTTTTCTTTCGTTCTTTGGCCCCATCTGCATTGCTGAGAATCATCCATGCCTCAACACTCACTCTGAGTTCACTTGCACCAGTAGCGGGGGCACATGTAAGACGTACGTTGCTGAATTTGGCAAACTGGAGTGACTCATCCACCCAGTGGTTGTGTAACAGGCAGAGCCGGCAGGGGAAATGAGCGGCTGTGTAAAGAAGGGCTGGACTTGGTTGTTCTTAAAGACTCTGCAACTCTTCATCATTATGCAAATCAAACCTTCATGTTTCTTTGTTGTTTGCCGTAAAAGATAAAAAAAATGAAATTGTGAAACCATTCCCAAAAGCTATATCAAGTAAAATAAGTCTCGGCTAGCCTCAGCTAAAGCTTACATTTAATGTACTAAATTAAGTAAAATAAGTCTCCTTAGCTAAAGCTTAAACTTAATGTACTAAATAAAAAAGATCTATTTTGATGATTAACATCCAGCTAATTCAGTTCAACACTCTTAACCAGTCCACATCACTCAACAACCAGGCATGATGAGGAAAAAACCCAGTTTAACACATGCTAAAGCTAACTAGCTTAGCATATTTCAGCATCTAGTGGAATTCATCCAATAGGAACATTCTGTGTACCTTGGCTAGCTGTTATATAACATATATAAATGTATTAATCGTAAATACATGTTTTAGTTCATCATGTATGATATTTGAACTTTCTATTGTTATACCTTCCAAACTTATCTGCTAATCTAGTGACTTCCCTCTCTGTAGAAGAGTATTCCCACTGAAACCTCATGCCACAGACGTTTTCTTAATCATTAAAGAATTCCTTTGAAATGTATTAAAAAAAGCCCAACCCAACTCGCATTCCCAAGCCAAGATAATTATCTCACACCCACACACAAACGCACTCTCACTGCCGCACATAACGTGCAGACAATGACCGTGTAAGGTGAGTGATGTCAATGAAGAGAAATGTGTGACGCCGTCTTGTGAAAATATGTGTGCGTATACCTCTGAACGCATGTGTGTCTGAAAGCGAGACAGAGGCGGGGAGGGGCTGTGTGTTACCAAACGACCAAAAGAAAAAGTGAGAGAGAAATGGTGTTGGAAAAAGACAGACGAGTGAGAGAAACGGGAGCGAAATGTGGAGTGAGACAGAAGAGACGTGAGGAAGGCCGGCGGTGACTTGGGGTGGTTAATGATTTTCGCCAGAAGGTCACAGACGGTGTTGACATGGTCGGGTGGAGGACGTATCGAGTCAACCACTGACAAATCAGTCATGCCCTCCTAAAATGAAGGAAAAAATCTTTCACATTGATCACAATAGTAGGACATGATTGCATAAAAACTGACGCGCACAGGACGTCAGTGAAACTAATATCGATACTCAAGGTTTTGCACTAAAACAACATGCAATATGAGACCTAACCATCAAATATTAACAGCTAATTTAATGTTGGATTTTTTTTTGCTTTTGGTATCATATTTCTTCTACTGTTTGTGATTGTGTCACAGGCAACACATGGCATGGGCCATTATTCTGCGATGTCAAGAGATCACGCAGCTTATGCAAGCAACAAGGTCGTGATGATATGCGTCACACAGCATCATCTGTCCAGTGTTATCGAATCAATAAGTGAAATCAGCAGCCATTTATTCACCACCTCCAGTGATTTCAAAATGATTTATTTAATCCTCTGACTTGCAGATGTCTCTTGCATGCTACAGTATTTCTCTTTGCTAGAATCAGGAGGCACTCCAGTACAAGTAACACTATAGTAGGAGTATCATGATGATCCAATGTGTGACTGTTGATGTGTGATGCTGTCCCCAGCTAAACCCTTTGGTTGCTTTTAGTTCCCAGCTAGCCTCTGACAACTCTTGTGAGTTTCTGATGTGTGTAAGTAAACAGGAGTGACCTCCAGAATATCTTCACAAGAGACCCCCCCCCCCCCCCCCGAACTGGCTTCACCTCCACCGAGGACCCAGGACATTGCAGGATCATCAGTTTATAATATGCAATGTCATATTGACTCTTAATGTTGTTTGAACTGCAGTTTTGTGTACAGCCACCTCACTTTGTGCTTCTGAAATGTGAGCCGCCTGGGGTCAAAGGTCACAGCGGAGCAGCTCTGACTGGCAGGAGGACGAGAGGCTGTGAAGACGCTGCGGCATGCAGCTCTCTGTTCTGCGTTTAACCACGGTGGCCACTCTGTTGCAGGTAAATTCCGAGAGAAGGCATCCATCCTTCATAAGATCGCTAAAAAGAAATGCCAAGTGGAGGACAGTGAAAAGGCCAACGGAGTGGCCAGCCGCTCTGGTAAGACGCTTCAACATGTTCCTGGGATATTTAAGTTATAATTTGTAACATTTCTGCTTTACAATGTTGAAAGATGCCTACTAGAACATTTTAAAATGTCCTATCATTTCCAAAATAACAACTGAAGGATACCAAATGTGAGTTTCTATTTGGTTAATGGACCAAACAATCACATTTTTTTATGGATTTAAAAAAAAATTCGTCCGAGATCTTTGAGACAAGGAGTGAGTAAATGATTGTTTGTTGTGTAGTGTTGATATTGTCTTTAGTGGTAGTAGTAGTAGTGTATAGAAGCGTAGCATTGGCTTAAGTCTCTTACTGTTGATCAGCTTCCTCAGTTTAGATAGGGGAGTGTCTAGCTGGGCTGAATCAGTCCTTCCTTCAGGCATTCATTTTTTATTTTGACTTTTTTATTTTCGGGGTAATCCTGGGTGGGGATTTAGTCCCTGTTGGGGGCAGGCGTTTCAGGGTTTCGGCCGCTGATGTGTGCCTTTTTAAAGTCGCCTCGAGCCCGGCACGCTCCAGAAGATAGTTAGGTAAGTTTGTGGTAGGCAGGATCTGGGGAAGCTTGTTATTTGAAAGACTAGAGTCAATGCTTGTGTAGCATCTGGCATCAGATATATTTGCCTGTTGTTGAGTGAGGCTGGGCTGCAGTAGTGTGGTGTGGTGTGGTGTCTCTATATCTGTGTGAGGCCTGCTAGTAACCTGTGTTTTGTTAATTATTAGATGTGCTCCAGTGTATCTTTGTGTATTGTTTTACTTTAGTCACTTTCTTTTATAAGAAAGTTGTTTGCAGTTTACCTTAATTTTACTTTGCAAATTGGCTGGTGAGCCCTCTTTACTTTTTGCTTATTAAACATCACCTTGTGGCTTCAGCAATCAGTTTTCTCCTTTTTTCTCTCGCCCGGTTATTTTATATTGTGTTACTTCCCTTTGGTTCCCCTAGTCCAGGAGGGAACGTAACAAACATTATATTATTTTTCGTAAATATAATTATATATATTTTCTGCTTCCTATATTTTATGACTTTTTTTATTTACAGTTTTTTTTTGCGAGCTTCAAGCTATTTCAAACTGTTGTACTTGCATAATCAGAGTGACAATAGGCAAGAATCTTAAATATTCATATTTCCAAAAATATATTCCTAATATTATTCGTCAGGACTGCCCACTGAAACAGTTAATGAGCTTCACGGCCGATGTTAAACAAGCATGACATTATCAAGAACTGCCAAATTGATTGCTAGTGTTGTCTTCAAGCTGTATTTAAATCAATCACAGTCACTGCCAATTTATGTGTTTTTCACTTCAAAGAGCATTGGACCGAAGGATAAACAGGCGTCCAGAGGAAGCTCTTTGAAGGCCACAGTGTAGTCAGAGAGGCAGAATCAAAGCCAGGCATACATGCTCATCAACAGGCTAAATTATGCTAACAGCGCCACATTAACATATTAGCATTTTAATCAAAAGCATGACTGGTATCATCACAGCATACTTTACTTTTCAGGTCTAGAAAGTATACTATCAGGGTTATTGTTTTTATAGCCCATCTTTATTTATAACCTTTCAGTCACATTATCTATCGGAGAATCCTTCTAAATGTGTCACATCCACACTTTCATTAAAGCTATTTAGACTGTTATTATGCTTTTATCATGTGATTAAATGGATTTCGGCTCTCTGTATTTTAATAATAGCTGTTAAATAAGCATGGCCTATAATGAAATTGAGTCTTATATTGTTATTTTGGAAATTTGAACCTCAGCTCCTTTAATAAGTCTATAATACACTTTTTAGCCAAAACATAAACTCAAAGATGTACATTTTGAATCCCACAACCCCAAAAAAGAATCTCCCATAGCAATTAGCAAATTCTTTTTTCAGGATTATGTGAACAAACTGGCTTTTATATTTCAAATATATATATTAAATTATGATTTGGTAGTAATGATCAGGAGTAAGGTTGGTGGAAATATCAATGCAGTAGAAGTTGAAAATAAAAATAGATTTTGTAGCTATTATTTTTGTTCTTTTGGCATCATAGCTGGTGTTGTCTCACACCTCTTTATCCTCTACACCAGGGGTCTCCAACCTTTTTTAGGATGAGAGCTACTTTAAAAAAATAAAACAAGTCGTGAGCGACTTTTACTCCTCTTTTTTTGTTTTTTTGCAGTGTATATATTTAGCACATTTTAACATTAAAGGTGGGGTAGGTAAGTTTGAGAAACCGGCTCGAGTGCGCTAGAATTTGAAAATACACAACCAGAGAAAATCTGCCACTTCCTTACAGAGCCCCTCCTCCAACACACACAAACGCTCACATGACCAATGAGGGCACGAGATCAGTTTGTGCACAGATGGAAGGCTGACAGGCAGGTAGGCCATCCAGTTACTTTAGCCGGGCCGGCTGAAATGATTGGTCGTGCTTTTTACAGTACTACGGCTTCCACAGATGATATTTTTTAATGGATTTTTTGTCAAAGCACTTAAGATATTCATTGCTATCGGGATGTTAAGAGCATTCCATGGAATATAACAAAAAGTGTATCTCGAGCCGGTTTCTTAAACTTACCTACCCCACCTTTAATATATGTTGACCTTTAACCTTTGTGTGCTGTTTGGGTCTGTGGGACCCGTTTTCAGTGTTTACTAAAAGAAAATGTATACAATTTAATTATTTTAACCTGCTTTATTTGGGGGTGGGACCTCACCTCCTCTAGGGGGGTCCGGGGGCATGCTCCCCCGGGAAGATGTTTTTTTTAATGTTGAAGTGAAATGCATCAATCTGGTGCACTTTGAGCACAACATGAATTTATGGATACAGCTCTCAACACTCAGATGAAAGGGAGCTGTATACTTTTCAATAATCCAAACATCTTTAGAATATGATCACAACCAATAACAAATCATTTCAACTTGTTTATTCTTATCTTATGTTACCTAGTTAGCATTCTTTCTTTTTATTTATGCTTATTTTACTAATCACTCCCCTTTTAAACTGTTTATTTATTTTACTTTCCTATAGTACACATTGGAATGATTTCTTACTTTTATTTTTTACAACTATACCCCTCCTGTTGTGTTCGGGTCAAATCTGACCGATTTACTACTTTCATCAATCATAACTTTTTTGTATTACATTCGATTGCATTAAGGCTTTATGATATCCTTCACAGTAGACATTTGAACATATACAATTGCTGATCACCACTTTCATTGAATTTTGGATGATTTAGTTAACTTTGTAACACCCATGGTGTTCCCGGTCAAAAATGACCGCCATAAAGAAAAGGAATTGTTAACCATCCCGATCAGATAAAACACACACACAAATATCCACACACACAAACACACGCATACACTAGATGTGTTTTCCCCCCCCTTATGTGCCCATCCCCCCATGTGAATCACACCTGGCACACACAAACACACACACACACACACACACACAGAACAATTTGATACATTTCCCGCTCTTATGTGCCCCCGCGAGCTACTTATTGAGGGCTTGCGAGCTACCGGTAGCTCACGTGTGGGAGATCCCTGCTCTACACGCTCCTCACTTACACAATTATCTCTCATATCTCCCACAGATAAAAACCTCCCCAACAGCTCCAGCGTGGAAGTGGAAGTGACACCACCCATGAACGGCACCGCAGTTCAAGAAGGTCAAGAAACGGTAAGAAATCACATGAAAAAACTCAAGTGTGTTGAAAATATATCTCATATTTTCCCCCAAAATATCTCCTATCAAACTAACCAGCTCGGCAGCAAAGGTAAGAGGCACGGATCAAAGTCAGAGGGATATTTATGGATATTTTATGCCCTCCATCCATTCCACCTTGAGTGAGATGGATGCATTGACTACGGCACAGGTCACTACTGCTGATAATTTCCCAGCATGCCCTCGGAACGAGATCCTCCATCTTCAGCCAGACCTGCCAAACACTCGCCTCCTTCCACTGAGTTCTGTAATCACACTCCTCACTCACCTGCTGCTCCCCGCCGCTGGGTGTTCACACACACACACACACACACACACACACACACACACACACACACACACACACACACACACACACACACACACACACACACACACACACACACACACACACACACAGAAAATGGCAACTGCAGGAGTGGTGCTGGCATGAGCGATGATGGTGGGACGCAGCGACCCACTGGGCCAGCAGACGGTCCCGGGGAGAAAGGGCAGCGATTCAAAGTGGCACACTGAGAGGAGAGGGGGCGGAGGATTCTTTCATTGACTAACACAGACTGAATCATGCTGCCATTCACCGCGTGAAAAGTTGTATTTTCAACCAAAAATATCTGTTTTCTGAAAAATTGCAAACTTTTTTATTATTATTATTATTATGTATTTATTTCAACAAGGACCATGCATAAAAATACTTTAATCTCAGAAAAGAGAAGAGATGAATTATGCCAGAATTTAGCTAATAGCTCATTTCCATCTGCAGTCCTTAGATAGGTACATAACAATCAACAAACACTAAAAACATTGCATAATCTCTATCACACAAATAATTATAAAACATGATTTAAGTAAAAAAATTAAATAATACATAGTACAGTAAAATATAATATTACAATACAGTTAAAATTGAAAAACTCAGATGTAATTAATGTTGGCATGGTTGCTTAATAATATTTTTGATTTGCTGTTCGCTGCCATTGTTACATTCCCCCTCGGAAATGTCTCCCATTTGTGTGAACCTCTGTGAGCTGAGGGAGCGAGTCAACAAAGGTGGTCACTCCAGTTGTGTATTATCACCCACAATGCATTGTAGTTATACACTATACACTCGCAGAAAATGACAGCCAGGAATGGTGCACTGCACTCTCTACTGACCATGCAGACTATTATATAGATAGGTAACCAATGAATGCATTTGATGGCAATAGCAGGGCAAATAAATAGTATCAAGCGTTAACTTTGCATTGAAATCCCAAGGTTTATAACTTTAAACGAGCCAAACGAGTTTTTAGTTAAATGTTTGCGTTTAGGTGGATTTTAATCTTGCACAACCCTTTGAATCAAAGCCCAGTCTTTGAAGCATTTTGCCTTACAGCACACAGATAAAAAATGTATACTGTAGCACTTTGTATTTATAGACCGCTGTATGCCCCCCCCTGAGTACGGCTGCATGTCTGCTGCTGAGGGAGCATTAAGGACGCTCTCAGAATAGACTGCAGGAGAAAATGCTGAAGAGAAGCCCTAAGTCGCAACATGACCGCGTGTGTATCGATATACTGCAGCAAGACCGCATTGATCTCCCACTCTTTCCATAATCATAGTCTTTAAAGATAAAACTGTCATCACTGCGTTGAAGCTGAAAATATGTGTGCCTATAATAAGGAAAATGATAGACTATATTCTTCAGGTGAAGGCAGAAAAGCTGATATATGGTAAAGAATATTCCAGGTGGTGATTCAGAGGATTTGGAAGATCTCATTGGCATAATTCCCATATGTTTATATATTTATAGGCGTGTCCCACAGTGCACCTGTGTGTGTGTGTGTCAGTCAGGAAGTAGCTGGAGGCATCTCACACCTTCACATGCCGCCTGAGGCCCGTCATGCTAATTGTTCAATTCCTCCTGGATGCCTTGGCAACCAAGATTGGGGAATAAGGTCAAACTAAAAGCAGCAGCTGACTTTAAAAGCTTTGAGAGCTGTGCTGACAGAAACGCACTGCAATAGTTCCCAAATCAAACGGGCATTTTTCATAAAAGTAACAAATATATTCAGCCTAGGATTCGCAGCAAATTGTCTTTCTGTAAAACATATACGACAGGATTTTCTACTTTCAGCACACATTTTGAATAATGTATGAGTGTAAAGCTCCCGTAATCGGGTCTTTAAATAACATTCTGAGAAGATCACAACCAACAGGAATTTGTGACTCATCCGAGCTCCTCTCTGAACTAAAACGATTTCAGTAAAAACACACACTGTGTAGGCATTATGTATTTTGGGGAGGAAGTAACATCATGAATATCTGATTGCTTTGCTAAATAATATGAGATTTCATATCAATTATATGGAGCCTCTATGTCAGGAAAAAGCACATTTCCGACTACTCAAAGATCTAAAGAGTTGGCAATGACTTTTTATTTTATTGACTAATCAATTAGTTGATTAATCGTCACAGCGCTTGGCAGATTAGTTGGAAAAAACACATTTAATCAAAAAATGTATGTTGTGATGTGCTCATTTGCTCACACTTTTCATGTCGATTTCAATTCTTGTAGCTTTGTTTCTACTTAGCACACGCCTCCAGGTTTAAAAAAGAAAAATAGCAAATGTCACGCCTCCCTCGCAGCTCTGGTAAAAGTCAGTGCCTTTAAGCTCGGAGTTGGCGGTGTTGCCAACTGAGGCCCCGCGGGGCAGGAAGGCCCCCGAGGAGCTGGCATTTGGGAACCAAGTCAGAAAGGGAGCAGCAGAACCTCCATGGGGCTCTTCAGCAGGGGAGAGCAGAAATAGACAGATGACAGACTCACAGTGTGCAGCGTCGGCCTGAAACGCTCACCTGCATGCTGTCAACATATCCATCAAAGAGCTGTGGGCAAAGAGCAACATCCTGCATCACTTCCTGCTAGATCACATGACCAAGTTTAGCTTCCAAACACTGCAGTCAACCCTGATAAAACCTCTTAGATCTCCACATGTATGATAAGCAATGGATTTATTGCCTCAGGCTTTTGGGTTTTAGGCCTTTTAACATATAACAATGCAGCCATCTGGATATGGAGAGGTGGGAATCAGAAGTAGAGCATAAGTGATGCAAGCTTTGCCTTTTGTTTGGCGGCTCTGATTACCAAGGTTACCGTGAAATACTCAGCAGCGGTGGCTGTCACAGCAGGATAGGCTCCGTGTGATTCACGATTCGTTCAGTAGCCTTCTTTAAAGATTTCTGCCTTCCTCTCTGCTCCGATAATGTGATTGACAATTATTGTTTACTGAGCGAACATCTGTTATCAGCATCGCTCTCTGTGGTGTGTGTGTGTTTGTAAATATTATTTTTACACCTTGGCTAACTCTCAAAAGGGCAAGAGACACATTTGAGGTCTTCAGTGGATCTACATGTGTGGACCTGTTCTCCGCAGGTCCCCGTGGCTCCTTACCATCCTGTATAATTGGATACAAAGGGACCCAAGTTATGTTCCCACTCTCAGAAGGCTTTGTTGTTTTAAAGTATGATTGTTTAGTAGAGAGTGATTTCGCTGCTGTGGACACAAACAGAGATGGAAAAAGTACACACATCCTTTACTCAAGTAGAAGTACAGATACTCGTGTAAAAAATACTCTGGTACAAGTAGAAGTACTGACTAAACTTCTTTACTCAAATAAAAGTAAAGAAGTATGGGCTTCGAAATGTACTTAAGTAAAAAGTACCCATAAACTGTTTTAAAGAGTACCTGACCTCCCTTTATATTAATAGAACAATAATGTCATTGTTAGCTAATGAATGTTTCCATGCTGAACAACGGCAACATGACAACGTTCTCATTGGTCCCTCTTCTTTAGAGAAGACCAGGAAATGATGGATACACGGATCGTGTTCAAATCAATAGGCACGCAATGACTCTAAATAATAATGATCAGGCCACTAAACACAGATTAAAACTAAAGTAACCTGTTTTGAAAATGTAAGATGTAGAAAGTACAGGTATTTGTGTTCAAAATGTAAGAAGTAGAAAGTACAGGTATTTGTGTTCAAAATGTAAGAAGTCAAAGTAAAGTAGTGGAGTAAAGTACTGATACCAGAAAAATGTACTTAAGTACAGTAACGAAGTATTTGTACTCCACTACTTCCCACCTCTGGACACAACAGATAATGCTCTAAATAAAAAGGAGATTTAGAGTCTTTCTTGCAGAATCTGTCATCTCTGGACTGTTTCTGTGAGGCTGATCTGCAGCGAGGTGACAGTCTTTGGCTCACTTGGCATTCCAGTGGCAGGTCCAATCAGCCCCCCCGAGGGTGTGCCGCCGCAGCCAGCCTCAGCACTGATGGGGGGGGGGGGGGTTGTAGCCCTCAGGCTCGCTGCAATCTCCCCAATCACTCTCCTCACACTCCTCTGTCTTAAGGTCACCGCTGAGCAAAAAGCACATGCACTTCCAGTTCCTGCCTTCCATTTTCTGCAGGCCTCCTGTACGCTTGTGTTGCACTACCCACCCCTCCAGATAGTTGCTATGGAGAGGTGTGTCCCAATGAGACATGTTACCCTAAAGGAGACACTTTTTCCGACATCCCTATAGGAACATGCAAAAAGCCTGACTCAGCTAAAGGTAAGGTAAATGAAACACCAAGTGATTACACTGTATTATATATCGTCTCCACACATTATTAAATATCACATTTTTTTAGAATCGCCACTAAATAAAGCTTGAAGGCTAAAATGGCATCATTTTTTCAAACTCTGGAGTTATTTAACAAAGTTGACATCAATAATATTCAGATAAATATCCAGGTATTTACATTTCTTAAAATGTCACTTCTCTGTTCCTTTAGTATTTTTTTAACAAGTTCTTAGATCCACTTTTAAGTCAGTCCTTCAGAAGGCAGGTCAAATGTTTATTGTAATTTTTGTGTTAAGTTATTTTCTTTATTGGTTAGTTTCTTGTTTGCACATTGTATTTTTTTCATTCTTTTTGACATAAAAAATGGGTTGCTTCGTGTCCTTTTGAAAGTATATAACATATATAGGCCTCATTTTAGGTTCCCTTTTATTAGCCTTTAAGGTTTCTTTATTCCAGATGTGCATTTCCTCATGTTATTTCATGATTCCTCTCTAGTTTTATTTATATATATATATATATGCACAATAATAATACATTTAATTGATATAGCGCATTTTTCGAGTTATGACATGGGGGGGTGGGGGTTCCAAGGAAAAAGCCAGTTTGAAGAGGTGGGTTTTGAGGGCTTGTTTGAAGGATGATAGGGGGGTTGATTGTCTGATGTGTATAGGGAGGGCGTTCGAAGCTTAGTCCTGGTGGTCTTTACGGTGCTTGCATCTCCGGACCTGAGGCAGCGGGTGGGGATGGGACAGTGGACGAGGTCAGAGAGACAGGGAGGGGCCACGTTGTTCAGGGCTTTGAAGGTGGTGGGCGATATTTTGAAGTCGATTCTGTATTTGACTGGGAGCCAGTGGAGGTTGTGGAAGACGTATTGCAGTTTGTGTTGGGGATTGTGTTTGGTAAACTCAAACGGTAGAGTATGCTATTGCAGTAGTCGAGTCTGGAAGGGATGAGGGCATGGATGAGGGTTTCAGCAGCAGTAAAAGAGAGGGAGGGTCAGAGGCAGGCAATGTTCTTCAGCTGGACATTTTTAAATTTACATAACTTAACCATCATTATTTTTTATCCAAACCATGATCTTTATGTAAACCCATCAAGTACCTTTGTCGCGTGTTTGTTAACAACTTTACAGGCTGTTTAAAACTGTAATTCTCTGTGTTTTAACAACCAATCCTGATGAATGTTTTATAACCTCTCCTGTATTGTTTGTGTTCTGCTCTCAGGCTGAGGATGAGGAGGAGGACGACCAGCCTCTGAGCCTGTCCTGGCCCGACTCCTGCCACAAGCGCATCACGTACCTCCTCATCATTCCCATCGTCCTCCCACTGTGGTTAACGCTGCCCGACGTCAGGAAGCCGGTGTGTGAGACAGTCTATCCTCACACATGGAAAACAGGAATCCTCAGTGTGAGACGGAGAAGTGTTGAGCTCGTTTTGTGTTTCTTCTCTTTCAGACTGCCAAAAGGTTCTTTCCCATCTCCTTCATCGGTGCCATCTGCTGGATTGCAGCATTCTCCTACTTAATGGTGTGGTGGGCTCACCAGGTACATACTTTCCCAAAGACAGACTCACTCCCCCTGTACATGACATTGTCAAAACGAATTGGGTGTAGCGTGATCACGACAGAACATTGTAAAATCCTAACATAATCCTTTTAAAAAAAAACAAAGCAAGATGCAGTTGTCTCGTTTCTCCATCCTTGACATTTCAAACAAAACCATATTGTCTAATCCTCCCACTCATACATAATTATTCAAAACAGAGAGCTTTTTTATCACCTCCATCAGCTCCTAATCATCACAAGGAAATAGCTAGAACAAAAGATTAGGTTTTTATTTACCCCAAAGCTTAGTTTTATTTTATTTTATTTTTTCCTTTTTTGTTTTGTTTGCAGGTTGGAGAGACCATCGGGATTACGGAGGAGATTATGGGCCTGACTATATTAGCAGCTGGAACGTCCATCCCTGACCTCATTACCAGTGTCATCGTGGCACGCAAGGGGCTGGGGGATATGGCTGTCTCCAGCTCCGTCGGCTCCAACATCTTCGACATTACAGTAGGGTACGCACAGGGCCTCTTACATGATTACATTTTTCTTTATATGAATATGTTATTTTCTCCTTACCATTGACGGCCTTTACCTTCTCCTTTTTTTTTTTATAAGGATTAGTTGGGGGAAGGTAACTTCAGTGCAAGCAAATGGCGATTACCCATGTAATCAGGCTGTATTGTGCTTTATTTATATTTCCCACAGTATATAATTGCGATGTAACAACGGTGTAAGTGGCAGGTACAGGCAAAACCCTTTAATGCACAACTTTAGGCCCTTTATTTATTTATATATTTATTGTATGTCTGTAATTAATGTTGTGTTTTATATATATTTTAAGTGTGTTGTTTTAATTGTGTTTTTATGAATTTTTACTCTGTAAAGTGTCTTTGAGTTTCTAGAAAAGAATGCATTATTATTATTATTATTATTATTATTTATTAACTGAAGCAAGGTGAGAAATCAAATGATGGGCAGGTGCTGCTAAGTTGCTCTTTGATTAGCTAAATTATTGTCAAATTAGACTTTTTAGAATTAGAATCATATTATCTGTGTGTGAGAATTCTCATAACAACAGAAAAAGAAATCTAGATTCAAAATAATTTAAGTTGTGACATTCGTAATTGTACATACTGTTGTCTTCTTAACCTAGTCATTGTTTACAACACGAAGCTTTATTGAACGTGTTTTTTTATTCGCAGACTGCCGTTCCCCTGGCTCTTGTGGTCCTTTATCAACAACATGTCTCCGGTGAAAGTCAGCTCCAACGGCCTCTTCTGCGCCATTGTGCTCCTCTTCATCATGCTCCTCTTCGTCATCATCTCCATCGCCGCCTGTAAGTGGCGCATGAGCAAGATGCTGGGCTTCATCATGTTCATGCTGTACTTCGTCTTCCTGGTGCTCAGCGTCATGCTGGAGGACAAGGTCCTCACCTGTCCCGTGTCCATCTGAGGAGCCACTTTCTGTCCCTCGTCACCGCCACAACCACCGCCGACACCACCACCCTCCATGTCTGCCATCGCCCCCCCTCCCCCACCCCACGACCCGTGTGATACTTTACTCCAGGAATAAAAGAAGAAGAAGGACGACAGGACAAGAAAAATAATACAAAACATTTTTAAAAAGAGCAGGTGGTGGTGGGGGCGGGGTTGGAAATGGCACAAGACTTTGGCTTGGCTGGTTTAGCATAGTGGATTTTTATTTTGTATTATTATTTAATTGGCAGGTGGGGGGGGGGGGGGGGGAGTTATGGGTCTATCAGCCAAATATAGAAGCATTATGCATGCCATTAGTGTCACTAGACGAGCTGAAATCAAGGCCACGCCTGGTAGGTTGAGGAGAATGACCTCCTGTGAACTTTGGGGAGGAGGGGGGGGCGCTGTATTAAACTCTTAATAATAAATGCAGTGGCTGAGCTGACATTGTGAGCACATTTGACCACACACAACAGACGCTGATACCAGGAGTGGAGAAGAGTTTGAGGAGACGGCAGCCTGTGAGGTCCAACGTGGCGTTGAGCTAAAAGACTCGAAAAGGAGGAAGCACTCTCACTGGGCAGACAAACTTTCTTATTTTATTTTTTTGCAATTTCATCATGCGCTCAGTCTGCGTTGAAGCTTCCCTCTCCCCTGCTGGACGTCATTCTTCACCACTGAATGTCTCTTCAGAGGATTCTTCTTTTTTTAATTTTTGGATTCATTTTCATGAAATATATAGAAGTAGCACTAGATGTACTGTAGCAGTATTAGGTAAAGTAGAGCCATCTTGACAATCTGCTCCTATTTTTGTTCTTTTGCCACTGAACACACGTTCTGATTGTGCAGTACTTTCCATGCTTCACACGCACCGACTTACAAAAGAAAAAAATTAAATTGAAGTTTTAGCCTCCCAAAATATATGCTAGCCTTCAATATCTTTCACTGGTTGAAAAAAAAAGGCATGAGTAATTTAGGATCATTAAAGCTCCGTAATGAAGTCAATGTCAAAATAATACATTTGAAAAAAAAGTGAACAGTGTTTAAGCGTCATGGTTGATTTAGATTAGTCAATGTGTAGTGCTTTGTTCACAGTAGAACTGGGCTCAACTCACCGGCTAGTCACGCTCCTGCGCTCGTAGTTAAAGGAGTCAACTGCATGTTAAAATAGACACTTGGAGGTGAATTATACCAATCAACATTTAAGAAGATGTATACCAAAATGTATACTTTTCCAGACATGTTCATAACTTCTTAATGCAATCCAGTGCTCAGTCTCTATGTAGAAAGTGTCAACATGTATGGTCAATGATATCTATCAAACTTGTGCAATTTATTTTCTAATCCAAGGTGCTTTTGTGTGCATGTGTGCAACCTGCATTTAAAGTCATCACACAATGACCATTCCTTATATTTATCTATGACTTATAGAGGTTATACTACCAGTATTTTGCGACTAACTGCAAAGAAAAAGAAATACACCAAACTGTGTTTTATACTGGAAATAGAAATCATAATCACTCCTTAAGCTACATAGAATGTGGAAATCACAAATTTAACAGCAATATTGTGTGTGTGTGTGTGTGTGTGTGTGTGTGTGTGTGTGTGTGTGTGTGTGTGTGTGTGTGTGTGTGTGTGTGTGTGTGTGTGTGTGTGTGTGTGTGTGTGGAGAGAATCATCCTCCCCCTCCCTTAGTGTCTGTCCTTCCTGTCTGACGTGGGCGACATTTCTCTGACCCCCTTCCTATAGAGCTGGTCAGAAACACCCTCTTTACCTCAACACAGCCTCTGTACAGCAGCGTAGTGACTGTAACATAATAGTAAATAGATTCTCTGAATGTGTGAGGGGAAATGCATGCGAGGAATTTGGGCTGGTTACCCACTGACTGTACAGCTGAGCTTAGACCAACGATATAATGTTCACTTTTATGCATCCATTCATTAAGAAACACTAAGAACTCATTGGTTTTACTTTGTAAATATACACAGAACCACACATGTATTTTATTTATTTTCTTCTCTTTTTTTTGACATAGTGGGTGGAGAAGGACAATGATAAGGCCCTTAGTATTATTGAGCAACATCTCATTAGCATACTTTACACTGTAAACTGTTCAGGTTCAGGTTAGAAAACAACATCTACACAACAGTAGGTCTTTGTGATGTTTTCTGACAAAGATTGCAAATGGTAAAAGTAAGCTATGATCTCTGTCAACTCATATGTTAAACTGTTACGTGTGCATGCTCTCGTATCTCCATTTCCACAACCCAGACTGTAAGAAACAAAATGGCCTCTATGATGATTTATGAAATTCTTCTGCATACGTTAAGGACGTTAAAACGTTAATGTGTTCACACCTCAGCTTGAGTTTCTACTCAAGGGTTCAATTTTGGGGGGAAAAGCACTTCTTTTGCTTTCTTGCAGAGCTCTAAATGATAAGATGGATGCCTTTTTTCATGTCAGTGCGGTGAAAGTGATCTAGAAGCAACGCCCAAAGGTAACAAAATCCACCTACAAAGCACATCTAAAGCTAAAAAACAAAGTGTAAGAACAAGTTTTACATTTGGTCATGCGCAGGCCAAGCTCTTTCCCCGTGTTTCGACTCTTTGTGCTAAGCTAAGCTAAGCTAACAGTAATATAGTATAAAGCTATAGGCCTATGAGTATTTCCTAAAAGTGTATTGCTTTAATAGGTCATAAGATAATTTGCTATCACTAAACTCACATGTGCATACTCTACTTGTGCACTTTTATTGCAAATATATGTTTTTCCCCACGTTTTTATGTGAGAGCATGACGAGAGGGAAACCAAAGGAAGAACTGAAAGTGGTTTAGCATGTGAGATTGGCATTGATTGTGGTTTTCAGCGACGCTGAACCACTAACAAACATTCTTGCACTGTAAATGTTTTATTTTCTTGGTGTTAATGTAAGATTTATTTAAGGTGTACATATATACAGATACAAATTAACCATATAATCTATATGTGTAAAAGAAATATGTCTCTTTATGTAAAAACACAAAGTATATAATAAAACAAATAAAGATGAAATTCAAATATGCAACAATGTGTTTGCGGGTTTTATTTTACTGACAGTCAGTCTCACTCTTGCTTTCAAATGTTGCTCTGTGTCCACTTGCAGGGTTGGCAAAGAGCAATTTTCCCCATAAAACACCATGGTAAAAAACATAACCGTAAAATTATTCATAGGACATGTCAAACTCCAAACAAGGGCAATAATAACTCATTCTAGTATGACTTTTTGACCCATGCAAGCAGATAGGACTGAATGCTTTATCTTCATATTCAGGTATTTTAAATATAAATATCTGCCAACACTACAGGATAAAAGTCAAGATATTTCATCCTCTAATGCATTTTTTTTTAACCTGTATCTACTAAGCCCCCCCAAAGTGTAAAACTAAATATATGAACTACCCTTGCTTCCTGCAGATGTCAAATAAATACAAAAAAGCCCACTTCAGTTCATTTCTCATGTGTCATTCCTGCATATGTAAAGACTGGTTGTGGGAAATGGCGCCCTCCTGTGATCAAACCCGGACTCTTCACTGTAATTTGTGACGCAATCATCACTTTTATACAATCCTTAGTCCACCCACATAAATTGTCCTCCAGCAGTTTGTCATGCTTCTACTGAATTAAATCACTTTTATCTTGCCTTAGAATTTAGTCACCTAGTTTTCCTCAAATTTCGTTAGATATTATATTTATCTGGAAATAGACACAACATGAGTCAGGGTATGTCTCTTTGTTCACCATAGTTCCCCATGGTGCACTTTAAATGTCAAGCTGTTTTTGTTTTTCAGAATGATCTTGATGGATCAGTGTTGTGTGATAAAGTGTATGGTGTATACAAAAAAAGATGTACCCCCATGTTCATGTCCCACGCATGATTGAAAAAAAAAATACACCAACATGGAGCCTAGCATGGCACAAGTAAAAGCACTTTGGGTCATTGTGCCATTGGGTTACCATCATCAAGACACATTACCTGGTTAAATATAAATTGTTCTGAAAAGAGGGCCAATTATTTGACATGCAAAGACAAATACCTAGGATGACACTAGGGTTTACATTTCTAAACTTGATAAGACCTGCATGACATTACTCAAGGAAAGGTTAACGAAACTTTGCCGGTGTAAGCATGCCAACATGTTTTTTTCTAGCAATGATTCCTAGTGAAACACAAAAATTCCCTGCCGTTTCCTGCTAATTCAAGAAATGTCCCCGACGGTATTTTTTTAGGTGTGTTTCCTGTAACTTGAATCACTAGTTCCTGTCTGCACACTCTTGTAAGGAGATAACAAAATTATACGACTGAATGTGTCTACAGATCTAAAGTGGATTAAACAGTTATTGTCCTCCTCAACACCCGCAGGACAGAGCAATTTAACTTCATGAAGTTCAAACCACCAGGATTGTGTAAGTGAATGTTTTTTTTATAATCTGAAACTGTATGTTGGCTCCTGCAGGCTTTGGACCTAGGGATGACCCCACTTAAACATCCCAATTTCTGCTGAAACAAAGCATTTATTCTTGGCTATAACTTAGCTTATTACTCTAATGGTAAATAGCTGCCTTTGAATCCTTGTTTTAAAGAATTGGGATTAACCTATTACCTCCAACACATCTTCCCTAATCTTTCCTCAGAAGTGTTTAAGGTGTTCTGACGGTAATCCCCCTCACTGCTTCCCTGTACCTTTTTTCTGGAAACGTATTCAGCATCATCACCTGAAAAAATAATAAAAACCATGGTGATGATTGAAGCGAATACTGACTGAGGTCATTCACAATGTGCCGAACACTATACCAACTTCCAGTTTCACAAAGTCCCAGAAAGGAGCCGTTTGAATCACTGTTAGTGATGCATTTGGTTTCAAGATCTTGGATACCAACCTCTTTTTTCTGGACATGGGACTTAAATTGAATGAGTTATGTGAATAATAATAATAATAATAATAATAATAATATACTGTATAATTATAAGCTTTATTTGTATAACACCTTTCATACAATAATTGCAGTTCAAAGTGCTTCACAGTAGACAGTTTTAATTCACTTCAAAGTTGAGAGCCTATTGGAAATTATTCAATGAGCGTCAAAAATGATTTAATTGAATTTTTTTTTTTCATTGCTATTTATTCATTTAAACTATACTTTCTCTCTGAATAAAATAAATACATTAGTGTGTCCCTCAGCAAGTTGTAACCTACTGACT